CTGAATTCATTTTAACTCTGTCCTCTCTGGAACCTCTCACTTCTCTTCATATTTCTTTTCACTTTCTTTCTTGACTCTACTTGATGCCATCTGTGATTGGCAGTGATTTTACATAATTTGACATTTGTGGATAACCTGTCTCTTAGCTTCACTGAAAATAGAGCCTTGAAAGTCTTTTTCAACTTTCTTGTTGCTCTTACGTGACTCCCAGAGGAAAAAAACTACTGACTTATGTAGATATGTTTATAGCAGAACTTTTATTGTTGTTTTAATTTGCACTTACCTGATTAAAGGTAAGAATTAGCTGCTTTTTAAAAAAATTGTTTGATGGTTACCTTTATGCTCTTTTATTTTCATTCCTGTATTCTCCCACAGGCAACCATTTTAATGTATTTGCAGGTCTGAAAAATATGATTTTTATTGTTTTGTATTAATGTATTTTTAAAATTTTATTTACTATTATCACTTTTTTTAACATTCTAAGATGTGGAGTAGTTGGTGGGGAGGGGGAGGAGAAAAAGGAGGAAGGGACTTGGGAGGAGGGGTTGGCCTGCAGTAGGCTCCTTTGCTGGCCTGGTTGCAGATGGCAGGGGAGCATGGACAAGGCTCAAGAGCCCGGGGAGGCTTCCAGTGGCAGCTCAGTCTTTGCTGGGCTGGATGCAGACATCAGCAGGGCATGGCTGAGGCCCTCAGCAACCCCTCCTACTCCAGTTCAGGAGCCCAGGGGCTTCTGGCAATGGCTCAGTTATCATTGGGCTGGATGCCAAGAAATAGCTTCTTTTTACATTCTTGGAAATCTATGTTTCTTTCTGTGTGAATTATCTATTTTTGGCATTTCATCAACATTCTATTACTTTGCATATATTTTTCTTATTGGTTTGGAGCAGCTCTTTGTATTTTAGAGACATTAGCTTTTTTTTTTTAGAAATGTCAATATTTTCTGGAAGTCTGTTACTTGTCCTTTTAAAATTGAATAGGACTTCATTGGTCTCTATGTTTACAGTGACTTATAATTAAAAAGAAGTTTTTTATTCTTTCTGTAGTCAAATTTACAAATTCTTGTTGTTATGACTTGACATTTCCAGTCTTGCTTAAGAAGGCCTGAGAAAACAGGGCTTCTCTGGCTTGTGGGAGTTGAAAGTGTGTACACACTCTACAATGAAATCCAAAAAGAGAGAGAACATAGTGACAATTCCTTTAAAATCTAAAGGCAGTATTTTATGAGGCAAAATAGTTTAATAATTAAATTATTTTTAAAAAGAATACAGGGCTTTAAAAATTAAATAATATTTATATTAAAGATTATCTATCTGGAATTTATGATAAAATATTGATTCTAATTTCATTTTTGTTTTTCCAATCGAAGTATCAGCATGCTGCAACACTATTAAATGATATCTTTTCCCCCCTGATTTAAAACGCTTTACTTATCATATATATAATTTTTCACGTAACTATTATCCGGACTCTCTGTTGATATACTTATCTATTCACTCCTTTTATTATATTTTATTATCTTATTATCTAATCAGGATCACACTGTTTTAAATAATATAGTACCCTCTGTACATGGCCAGCCACTAAATAAATAGATAAATAAATAAATACTATAGCACCAAAGTATCCCAATCCTAAGCATCCCACTCACTCACTGTCCATGAGACCTCAGTAAGCCTCTCTAAGTCTCAGTTTCCATTTTGCAGTGTTGTTTTATGAATTAAGTTTATTAAAGATTTAAGTAAATCACTGTTCTAGACCCATGCTTCACAAAAAGAATAGGCATTTAATAAATGATTGTTATTAATTTCATCATCATAATATATGATAAGATTTAACTACAGGCAAAAATTAGTGATAATAATAAATTACCAAGTATTTTAAGAATACAACAAGCCTGGCTTCTTTTTTATTTTTCCCTGTGTGTTCAAGCTCCAAGGGAACTTGTCCCTGTGGGGAAATCATTCAGAGTCTGGAAGATGTGCTGTTCTAGGCTAATTATGTGAAGAGCGGAAGGGAGGAAGAGCAGCTTATGTAGGACACTTTGGAAAGGGAGACTGGGTCAGTAACCAAGCAGAGAACTGGCACTTCACTTGGGATCCCATAGGAAGGAGCTAAAAGCCTGCTGTTCACAGTTGCTTAGCAACTTGCAAATGCACAAGAAAGGAAGAAGCGAAGACATCACGAAATCAGGGGAATTTTACTTTCTCACTCACCCATTTATTATTTCTACATTGTGCATAAGTCAAAGAGAAACTGAATATGTGTGACTTCCAACAAATAAGCCAGACAGACAGTAAAAGGAATGTAGTTTAAACATAGGCATACAAATGTCGTAGGCAGCCCAGAGCTAAATCTACAGACAAAAGTACATGTGCTTACAGCTGGAATCCTGGTGCAATTGAACCATTCTGGTCATGAAGCAAGCATCTATAAGTGCTTCAGAGAATGCACGGGAGAGGCTGAGGCAGCCCACGTGTGTAAGAAGTTTAGCGTCTCCTAGGGAGGAGAAGACAGGTATTGAATGACAGCACCACAAGGCAGAATTCATGTCACAGCTGAGGAGCATCAACTTATATGTCCTCAAAGGTGGGAGAGAGCACAGCTGGTGGGCACCCAGAAAAGCTTCACCGAAAAGGTACCATTCTAATTTACCTTTAAAAGCTGAATAGGGGAAAAAAAGTTTAAATAGGATTTTGACAATTACGTGTGAGAATGAGAGCACAGTTCAGCACGTCAGGGAGGAAGTTTCAGGTATGCCCAGAATCATGATAATCCAAATCTGCTGCAGAATGGAAGCGGTGAAAGAGAAAATTGTTGCCAAATTGTGGAGGTCCTCAAATGCCAAGTTTAGGGTCCTGTGCTTTATTTAACAGGCCCTGAGAGATGATTAGGGTGTGGGTGAAATGATCAGAGTTACACCTTCAGGAGATAAATCTGGTAAAGATAATTTTGATTGGGGGGGTAATCTGGTAATGTAATTTTGATTACAGTATAATGGAGCACGTGGTAGAGAAGAAATCTAAGGACTGTGAGAGGAGGTCAGTCAGATCTAAAAAAGGATGTACAGTAATGGGAAGAAAGGGACAGATGATAAAGACATTGCAGAGGTAAAATTTGAAGACAGCTTACTGATTGGGTACCAGGGCTCAGCAGAGAGTGAGGAATGAAAATTAACTCAGAGGTTATAAGCCTGTTTGCTGCGTATCAGTGGTGATTTCCAGCAAGTGGAAGAAAATGTTGGTTTAGAGTTTAGAGGCATTCAAGGCTTCGGTCATGATCTGCATGAAGGGCACAAGTGAAGCTATGTGAGTAGGTATAAACACCAGGGAAAGGGGCTAGGTATAACCTCAAAGGAAGAGGAGGACAGGCTCAAGAAGAACCCAAGGTCAAGAGGAGGAGCAGTCACACAAGGAGCAGGGAGCACAGCCGAGTGCGTTACACAGAAGCGCTGAGAAGAGCAACTTTCAGGAAGATGCGTGGATGGGCAACTATGGGTGACGTTTATTTCCTTTTTGTTTTTAATCTCCTACAAAGATCAGGTAGTATTTTTGTAAAAATATTTTTAATCAGTTTTTTGAGGGTTTTTTTTTTTACAGAAATTATTTGTTATCAAAGAAGCAAGTAGTTTGGAGACATAGGAGGATAAGGGCTGGGGTAACATCATGCTGGGAGATTAGGAGATCAGTTGTGTCCTTGTAGAAACATGTTTCAGCAGCGTGGGCAGGGGTGGAAGAGGATTGTAAGGGTCATGGCAGGACTCTCAGCAAGTGGCTGACTGGCAGGTTGGTCGCTTGAGGAGATGAGATGGATGAGGGGGCGTTTTTTCAGGAAAAAAGTTTAGAGGCACATTGGTTGAAGAAGGGAAGGATGATAAAGAGGAAGAGGTTGAAGGTTCATGTACAGGTGGAAATCCTTGACCGAGCTGAGGGCACAGAAAGAGGGCAGGAAGGAGTGGAGCCAGGGGCACAAATGTTAGCCTGGAAAGCCAAAAGCAGGGACCTGTCTTCTAATGCAGATGAGTGGGAGAGGGACGGATAAATAGGAAATGAGGCTGGGAGGTTTCAAAGGGAAGAGAGGGAAGCTGGGGGAGCTCAGTTTGAATGGTTCAAGAGGTAACTGAGTTAAAGAAGGTCTGAGAAGAGCTGGGAAAAGCAGAAAAGCACTCACACATTCATCACCAAACCAGGAGGTCTTGTCTTCTCAAATCTAAAGTCTCAGACAGTTATAGATGAACTTCTCCGTGTCAAAAATTTCAGTAGGTCCCAATATCAACACAAAGGAAGTTCCATCTGGACCCGTGGACCTTAACATTTATGGACCAGACTAACAGACTGGGCTACTGTAGAGAACATATTACATAAACCGTAGACCAGCCCCACTCAGAGGGACCTCAGAAGGTCATCTGAGAATATACAGATCCCAGACAATGCATCCTGTGCACACCTGCACCCATTCTACCATGCCCTGTGCAGAGAATTCGGACACCAGGAACTCTTTCATGGAGGGAAAGGGATTTTCATTGCAGTAGATGACTGGAAAACCATGAGGTGATGAACAAGGAAAGGTGGGTCGCAAGATGAAGCCAGAGGAAAACTGAGGTTCCAAAAATCACCTCTAGCCTGATGGGACAGATAAAATAAAATATTGTAAGATGTGTCAGGATCCTTGCATCTAGTTCCCCGAGGGATCATTTTAAACACCAAAAGACTGATCACAAGGAAAGTGAAAAGTCCCAGATTCTTTGGCTCATCAAGTCCCACAGGGAACCTGGTCATATCAGACACACTTGCTGAGTTATATAACGGTGACAACAGCCCATATTTCAGAACCTTTGACATCACCTTGAATCTTATTTCATTAAAGTCATTCTCCTAATCATTAAATGTAGCAAAGAGTAGGCAAGAGTGAGCAAACATTAAACATGTCAAAGAGAGGAGCTATGTCCCATTGTGTCCATGCCTTCTGCATTGGAGTCTCTGAGGCTTTTCTTCAACTGCAACTCAAGATGCCACACACCTTGAGGAACAGCCCCTCTCCAGCACAGCTCTCAGCCTGGGGTGGCAAAAAAGCAGAATGATGGGGTGGACTGCTGTGCACAGATAAATTGCTGCTTGCCACATCCAGTACCTTAATTCCCCAAATTGAAAAATAACTGCAGTACTGAGCACTAGCGACAGAAAATAGGAGATGAAGAGGATAGCAAAAGAGACTAGAGCCAGGAGAGCCTTGACGTGCACCTGAGCACTGGGCTCTCGGAATCCTGAAACGGTCAAGAGGGCCTTCTTCGTGTGTCTTCCCAGAGATGTGATGAGCAGAACCATGCAAATGAGAAAGACAACAGTAGGGACTGTCCAAGTAATCACTTTTAGAGGGAAGAGGTAGAATTTCTCATATGAGCTCCTTATGCTATTCCTAGTCAGGTTCCAAGGTTGCAGACCTGTCCTTACATAGTTCTGATATATCTTCTGGTTGCCTATGAAAAGTAAGATGGTGCTCAGGCTGGAGAGCCCCACAGAGCTGAGAAACATCCATGGTACCCAGGTAGACAACTTGCGCTTTAGCCAAAGGAAGACAGGGTGGGCAAATGTTGCGATTTTCACGCAATAGAAGACACTGAGCCAGGTGGAGAACCATAAGGTGGCAGCATTCAGGAAGTCCCACTGGAAACCTAGGAACTGCAGTACAGGGTTGTATGGAAAGGCCATTGGATATAGGAAAATATAAATGTTCTTACCCATCACCACCCACTGCAGACAGAAACGAGAGGCTCCTAGGCTGAGCAATAACTTATCACAAGGTGGCAGTGTTCTGCGTAGCAACCACTCTGTGCCGAGCACTGCAGTGAGGGTTGTATGGAAAGGCCATTGGATATAGGAAAATATAAATGTTCTTACCCATCACCACCCAGTGCAGACAGAAACGAGAGGCTCCTAGGCTGAGCAATAACTTATCACAAGGTGGCAGTGTTCTGCGTAGCAACCACTCTGTGAAGCCATTGCCCACCACTGCCACCAGGCACAAAAGGAATAAAATGACAGCCAAGATGATGGCCTTTGTATCAGTTGCTAGAGGTCCTGGAACCATGTCATCTCCACTCATCTCTCCTGTGACAAGATGGGCCCAAGGCTTCAAGAGCTATTTCTGTCAGGTTGCTCTGGAAGGTCCTGTATGATGTGTTTATCCCTCCAGCTGGCCCAAGTGCAGAGGCGAGGCCAGAGTCGAGGACATAGGCTATCTGAGGGGGATGAAGAGGTTTCTTCTCTGCCAGAATAGATGCAAATACTGTCAAGGCTCAGTTTCCATTGTCCCTCTTCCACCCCATGAATTTGCCTGCCCTTCTGCCTATTCTCTGCCCATTTCAACATCAGCATGGATAATATATCAGGACCTTGCATTTAGTGTCCTTTACACAGGAGGTTATACTTCTCTAAGCTGACACCTAAGACATGACCACACACCTGCCAGTAGCTCAGTGATGAAATCCACAGAGCACACCCCCTCCTGACAGTCAGAGCTCACATCCATCAGGGGAGATTGCTATGTTCCAGGCATAATTCTAGGTGCTCTCCATAGTACCAACAACTGTATGAAGTAGGTGCTTTGAGAATACCACTCCGACAGAGAGACAGTGAGAAAACAGGGCAAAATCTCTACTGAGAGAGGATAATTCAAATAATACCACTTGTGATGACTCATCATAAAATAGAACATAGGAGACAATTATATGTAATCAAGCAGGCAAATGTTTTTTAATTTTCAAAAATATAAGTAGTGATGGTTGAAGTGGCATTTCACAGAGGAACCCCTACCAAGATAGCTATAAAACCAAATAGACATGGGAGAAAAAGCCTTGGACTAGAAATCAAGACAGGCTTGAGTCCAAGCTCCATCCCTCACTGTGAGCTGTTGGGTTTGTCAGTTAGCCCCTCGGTGCCCCAGTTTCTCCATCTGTAAGATATGAAAAGTATCATCTGTTCTAATTCACAGCGTTATCTTAGAATCTCAGTTTTTAGAGTGAAAGAAGACATAAAAGATAATTTTACAGTTGTAAGAAATGAGGCCCCAAATTATAGATTAATACTCTCACCTAAAGTCACATAGAGGAAAAACCAAGACCCAAACTGATTCTGGGGCCAGGGATCTTTGCCATAGTTAGCAGTACATCTTACACCACCATCTTCTTTATTTTTAGCTGGAGTAAGAGGACAAAGTTTTGAGTCTTGTCACAATCACTAGTGACAGATTTTCAGGGTAGTTGCAAATAAATGTGATCATAAGCATCTGAAAGTACTTTGCAAACTATAAATCTCTGCATATACACAAGAAGTAATTAGGGTGATGATGATGACTTATCAGAATGACTGTCTTCCAAAAAGAAATCAGGAGAGCATCAGGAATGCAGTGGAAGTGCAGGGCACCAAACGTTGGACCATCTAGGTTAACCGCAGGAGGGAGAAGTAAGCAAAGACCACATTCTTCATAGGAATGAGTTTCAAAGAATCCATAAAAAATAGCAATCAACACCCAGGTGAGTGTAAGTGGGTTAATATGTCCGAGGGAGATTGGCAAGCAGAAATTGCCCTGGGTGAAATATAGCAACATTGAAGGTTTAGGATCAAGTAACATGAGAGTGATAAAGTATTTAATAGTACACCCCTCTCCTGGCCAGAACCACAGCCTACCAGTCCCATTCATAGAACCCCCACTAAGAGGAAATAGAACACAGAACACTCAGCATCTCTTTCCAGTTGCCAGTCCATGTCCAGGTGAAATTGTTTCTCCAACCCAGAGGCCAACTGTAGTGAACATTGTGCTCCTGAGTAAAGGAAAGAAGGTGAACTAAGGTAATTCATTTCCTCTGCCTTTCTGTCAAGATTCCAATTTCCAGGGAATCAAGTCCCCAGCTACTCTCTTCCTCATCCTTGTTCCTCTGTCTGACATTTTTTGGCTGTTTTCTACTTGAACTTGGAGTCATGGGGCAAACTCTGGGCTCACAGCTTTGGCATTTGGACAGCCACAAACCTCCCAATGTGGAAAAATCATGTCTTTCCCATCTACCTCCTACATCTTCAATGGCTCATAAGATGAAAAAGATGTGCTGCTGACGCTCAATTCTTTTAGCAACAATTTATTAAGCTTATACTGTATGTCATAGTAACCCCATGAAAGGTACCAAGTCTTTAAGAGTGAACTAAATATCTATCCTCAGAGTGCTTTCATTCAGTAGTCATAAATTAAAAACATTTACTGGGCATATAGGGTATGCAGATTAAGTTAATTAAAAAAGGATAAATAGTCGTTTGCATTTAAATATGCAATGTGCTTCATAGTGATTCTTTTGTTGTTTGCGTTTTCTGTTTGTTACATTTTACTTGCTTATATTCTGATTTATTTTCCTAGGTAGAAGCCAAGTCTGAGAATTTTTATATTTTCATAGCTAGTCTTTATAAATTTAATCATGAGGGTCGTAGGATAGGAATCCTGAGTAGGTTCTCTATATAGAAAACCTTCCCCTCAGTACTGTCTCTTAGAGGTATAAAAAAATAGTCACCCCCAGGCTGTGGTTCTAAATGTTATGTATCATCCTATTCCAACCCCAAGAATTCTCAGGGAACTTCAGCAGCAGCATGTGCATCATCGTGGGACAACTAAATGCTGTCTGGTATGCTGGAAAAAGACATAGCATCAGTAAAGGTGGTGGAAGTGTGATTATGTCCGGAATGATTGGATAAGTTTGGCTACAGCAGAGGATTCACATAAGGGAATAGTGGCATCTCAGGTTGAAATGACAGGCTGGAGAGAGATCACAGAAAACCTTGAAAGTCAGGATAAGGTACTGGATTGTATATTTGGTCAAGATGGAGCCACCAATTGTTTTGAGGCTCTTCTGAGCTGGAATTTAGGAAAGAAGGTTGAGAACATTAACCAATTAAGGACCCCTGAGATAAGCTCTCTAAACCTGCCTTAACTCAAGGAGCTGTGAAAATGTGGGAGAACACGAGTGACACACCATCTCCCGCCCACCCAAAGATGCTCAGTAAAGTTTTGAACTCTGTCTGAGGAAAAGACAGTCTTCCAGGTGCCCAGAGTTGAGTGCAAGGGGTAGAGGAAATCCACCCTGACGCTCTTGCCTTCTCTGCTTCCACCCAACCCTCTTGTAACTTGAGCCTCAAGTCTTAGTCCCCATAGTTTATTGCCTTCCCTGTAGGAAGTCATCCGCTCAGTCATGTTGCTGCAAAAAAAATGAACAAGAAAAACTGTTTATGACAGACGATGAGGATAATATGTATTGTCTAGGTGGGACAACTCACAGGTAGACCCTAGGGGTCTGTGAGATTAAAGTCTGGCCATAGTACCAGATTCTCACAGGTCCCTCTATCCTTCCTCACCCTCTTTCCACTCTCTGGGAAGCCCCCTGTGTTCCTTGCCAGCCATTTGAAAATCTCCTCATTTAAAGCCTTAACCATCTCCTTCTAAGAGAGAATTCCTCCCCTGTTATCTCATCTCCCTCTGGTCATCCTTCTCTCTTCTCTTGCCATAGCTCAGCCTGTGGCTAGCATTGTGGCATACTGTTTTGAGGTCTCAACTTTCCAGGATTGTTGGACAATTTACCATGAGTGCAATTATTGATTTGAAAATTCTTTGTAACCTCTGTTCTGTCCTATTATTTATTACTCCTATTTTGACTAGTTCAAACATATGATTCTCTCTTAACCATATCTGGTATATTTCCCAATCTCTTTCAGTCTATTGGTCTCTATACTTTTTCACTGTGAACTCCATCAGTAAATTATGAACATGCATCCCACCTGCTATGGACTGAATATTTGTGTCCTCCCAAAATTCATCCTCCATGTGATGGTATTTGGAAACGAGGCTTTGGGGAAGTAATTAGATCAGGAGAGTTGAGCCCTCATGAATAGAATCAGTGCCCTTATAAGAAGAAACACAAGACAGATGATCTCTCTCCACTATGAAGGGCACAAAAAAGGCATCTGTCTGCAACCTGGAAGAATGCTGTCACCAGAACCCAACCAGGCTGGCTGTCTGAGTTTCAGGTTCCAGAACTGTGAGAAATAAATGTCTGTTGTTTAAGTCACCTAGTATGTGGTATTCTGTCACAGCAGCCTGAGATGACTAAGACACTGCCATACAAATATTTATTTTAAATTATATGCATGTACTACTTTACTAATACATTATGTACATCATAAAATACACACAAAATTAGGAATTGAAAGAAGGAGATAAAAATAAATGGAAATTGAAGTTGCCACACTTTTCTCCCCATACCCAGTGGCTCATCCTGCACACACCTGGAATGAAGACACCTGAATTTGGTGACTACTGTCCTAGGCAATGGCATCCAGGATCCACATCCTGGGTGAGTGGACAGGAAGAATTAATTATCAAAATTAAGAATTGTAGAGATGTTCCTTTGTTTTCCATCTATCTTCTGTTGGCCGAACCAAAAAACATTTCCACATGAGACAATTCCACATAAGACAATTCATTTTAATTCAATATGTTGTGAACACATGAAGTCATGGACATGACCTATAGTGACATAAAACTCATAGAAGTCCTCAGCCTTCCATGGGATCAGACTGAAAAAGCTCCATCGATGGAAATAGTCTTATGCAGGCCACCAAAGAAGCCAATGACAAAGACTGGCAGAGAAAGGAAAGAAAGAAGTTCTAGGTGGGCCAAAGTAGCACATGTGGAAGGGAAGGACGTGTGGGAAGATGGAAAGAAACTTAATTGGACTGAAGTCGAGGGGCTGAGCTGAGAGCAGAGCAGCAGATGGGAAGGGCGGCAGGTGTCACAAAGTGGATGGTATTGTACAATCTATGCCACTATTTAAAAAAAGAAATTTCAGTTTGCCCACAGAGACAATCGACAATGGTTGCAGGTGTCTGGAAAGGGAACACAGACCAAAACAATGCTCAGAGGCTGTCATTAGGGTCGTTTGCATAGAGAGTCAGAGAGGCCTGTGAGGAAATGAAGCCACCAGCTAAAGTCAAGGTGTTTTGGAACTCAGACTAGGGACAAGCAGCAGTGGAGGGGATGGCAGGAACACAGAGGCATGGAAAAAGAAA